ACTGTGTAGGATGTGGGAAACAACGGCCAGAACCTTCTAAAATCGAGGCCATGGCTAACTGGCACACACCCTGTACCAAGACATAAGAGACAGTTTGTCCCGGACTACAGTGCCATAGTGAAGCCTCTGACTGACCTGACTAAAAAGTATTTACAAAGGCAGGTCCTGTGGTCCCCAGAATGTGAGGAAGTTTTCCAAGCCTTGAAACAAGCTCTAATCAATGCCCCATCCTAGCTGCCCCAGATCCTTACAGACACTTCCATGTTTGAACTGGGGGCAGTTTTGAGTCACGTTGGAGAAGACGGAGAGGAGCACCCAGTTGCCTATTTGAGCCAGAAACTATCACCCCAAGAGGTCAGCTATGCAGTCATTTAGCCTGGCCCTGGTATAAGCACTGAAAAAACTGACCCCCTACCAATACGGGTGAGCCTTCACTCTAATCACTGACCACAACCCACTAGTGTGGCTTAAACGGGTGGCAGGAGACAATGCACGGCTGCTAAGGTGGAGTCTAGCCCTACAACCCTATGACTTCACCATCTACTACCGGCCCGGTAAGCAGAATGGGAACACGTTGATAGGTTGTCTTGACAGACCGAGTTGGTTCACTGAAAGACCTTTTCCCGGACATCCCCAAGTTGACCCGAAAGAGTCAAACTGTGTCTGCCAGAGCAATATGCAAGGGGGGAATGTTGTGACATTCGGGAGATATGAACTACCACTGGAGGGAGCATTCACTCCCTAAAAGCAAGGGAATATTTTGCGTGGTATTCGCACAGAAACCCCCAAACAGAGACCGGCCATGGTGCCCATTTCCATGGAACTGTTTTGGGCTTTTACCTTGTGGCCGGCCAGTCGGAACTTTACCCCGGTGGCGATTCTATTCTACCGAATGGATCTGAGCGCTATTTGGCCAACTTGGGCGCTTAAATCAGGGCTCTCCAGGGGATATGACTCTGGTGGGGTTCCTGTTGATATTTGGGATACTTTTGGGGGATTTGTTACAAGTTTCCTGCAGCTGGGAGATAATTGAATTACCAGATTTTGGACTCAATTATCTCCCAGACACACAGATGCCTGGAACGAGTTTATGTTATTCTCTATGGAGACCCCATGCTGGGAGTCAGTGTATAAATACTGGATGTTTTGGCTGATTAAAACAGATCTACTCCCAACATTAAGTCTCGACTAATGTATGAGCGGGGGAGCTATACCAGCTATTATCACTTCAACGGTTGGAGAGAGCTACTTCAACAGGGAAAGGAAGTCCATGTGGCAATACTGTGGTCACGGCTGTGCTGGCAGACACAGAGGGCAGATATCTCTTTGTGAAAGGGAAATACAAGATACCACTTATATGTTAGCTATCTTCTATTTCCCAAACAGATGGAAATTATCTTAGCGAAGACACTCAGTATTCTGAAATCTTTTAGTGAGGACACTTTTGTAGCAGGTGGAGATCTGAATATACTGCTTGATCACAGTTGGTATAGTTATATAGATCATGTTTTAATCTTCTGGCTAGGCTCCTTTTCGTTGTTCAAGGAAATGGTGGACACACTCAACGAAAATGAAATCAATCTCCAACTTACTCATGTTATTGATGAGAGACAATTGGTCTTCCTTGACCTAAAAAAATTTACATCCTTGATGATGGGGAGATTACTACAACGTTATTTAGGAAACCTACAGCAACAAATAGTTTGCTTCACTGGCAGAGTTTCCACCCACATCATTTAAAGGCCAATATTCAATATGGCCAATATTTAAGAGCAAAAAGGAATTGCTCTAACCAGGAAGACTATGAAAAGGAAGCTAAAGAACTTAGAAATCGATTCAAAAGTCTGGGCTATCCTAATAGGATTTTAAAGAAAGCCGATCAACATTCCAGAGCTGTCGATAGGTCTGCGAGTCTACATAGACCCCCTAGAAATACCTCTACATTCCCAGGTGTAACCAGATTTATAGGTACATACGACAATCATTGGAACCTGGCACAACAGGTATTAAATAGGAACTGGTCGGTACTGCAATACGACACATGTCTTAAAAACACCATTGCTAACCAACCCTCCATGACCTATCAAAGAGCAAGGAACTTGGGGGATTATCTAACACACAGCCATTTGAAACCGGCACAAACTACACCCACATGGCTCCAAACAACTAAACAAGTAACAAGTAAAGGCCTTTTCAAGTGTGGCCATTGTAAGGCTTGCAATTTCATCTTACCAACTAAAACTGTCTACAATAAGAGAACATCAAAAGAGATAGTTATCAATGCCTTTGTTAACTGCAGCTCCTCAAATGTCATCTACCTCATAACTGTGAGTGCAGTTTACAGTACATCGGCAAAATGTACCAAGAACTACACAGACGGGTCTTACAACACATCTGTTCTATTACCAATCCACATGTGGAGACTCCAATTGCCAAACAGGTACGATTGAATCATGCATCCAAACCTAGTGTACTCAAGTTTCAAGTGATCCAAAAAATATTCCTTAGCCATCGCAAAGGGGATATTAACATCTCTTTACTTAAGGCAGAGTCCCGGTTTTACCATTTCCAAACACTATACCGTAAAGGAATGAATGAGGAGTTTAACTTTACTCCATTCATTCACTCATAAAGGTGTTATAGATTGATTTCTACAATGCCTAATGACACATGGATAATCCTTGTTCTTCTAGACAAATTTACTAACAATTATTGTAATAATAATAGACTATAATTCCTAAGGCGTAATAATTTTATGCAACAAGAACGTGCATATCGACTATTGGATAACTATCCTTATATTAAAATCATTATTTAATATCTGAATGATATGTAAAATAATTAATCCTACAAATTTGGAATTTGCATGCCCCGCTGCGTAAGGTGAGAGTAAAAGGATGAACTTGATCACAGCTGACCTCATCCAAATGTACTAGTTTCGGGATTCTTTGTGGTCAAAGTTCAAGCATACTGGCTCTATGAATGATCACTGTGCATATAGTCAATGGCAAAATATATGCACAAAACAAACAAAATTGGCCAAGGCCCAATATTTCTGTGAAAATTTGAACAATAACCTATCAAGTCCTAAAAACTTTTGGAAAGTCATAAATAAATTACAAACCCCCGCAATCCACTCCCAACCCTCCACTGTCAAAGTGGATAACCAAACCCTGCAACTTCCCTTACATGTAGCGAATGCCTTTAACAATTATTTTGTCGGATGCTCCACTGCCCTGATTGCCAAGCTAATAAATGACATGCATCCTGAAACTACAAATTTGGATCAGGCCCCACTAAATTTGCAAAGGCCCAATATAGACAAGTTCATTTTTAGACCTGTACCTATTAGTGTTGTTAAAAAACACCTAAATAATCTAAAAATGAAAAACCAGTCTGGACCTGATCAAATCCCAGCAATGCTGTTGAAGCTCAGTGCGCCGGCAATTGCTAAACCCGTCGCAACCATAATTAATGAATCCTTGGTGTCTGGATACATACCAAAACTTTGGAAGACTGGGAGAGTAGTACCTATCCATAAAAGCGGGGACACTACTTTGGTTTCTAACTATCGGCCAATATCATTGTCCCCGGTATTGTCAAAATCTTAGAAAAATGTGTCTATAAGCAACTATGTGAGGATTACCAACAATCAAACTATCTGACCTCTGATCAATCGGGCTTTCGACATTAACAGTCCACTACAACTGCCCTCTTAAAAGTTTGCAATGACATCCAAACTGGCATGGGACAAGGAGACCTAACTGGAGCTATTTTCCATGATTTTGCAAAGGCTTTTGACACAGTAGACCATAACATTCTACTGCACAAACTCAAAAACTCAGGTATTGGTGATTGTTCGCTAACTTGGTTTCGATCGTATGTGTCGGATCGCTCGCAATATGTGTCCATTTCTAACAGCGACTCCCTCCCTCTCCCAGTCACGTGTGGTGTTCCCCAAGGTTCCATTCTCGGCCCCCTACTATTTGCATTATTTATAAATGATCTGCCTAATGTCTGCAAATCCTCAAATGTACACATGTATGCAGACGACACAGTAATCTATGCGAGCAAATCCGAGCTATCGCAGTTTGAGGCTGTGCTCCAAGACCAGTTTACAGAAGTAGAAAAGTGGATCGCAAAAAACAAACTCTTCCTAAAAACTGACAAAATTGTCACAATGATCTTTGGAACAATACCTAAATTACACAAATTACACGATTTCCACCTATCCATCAAAACAAATTCAAATAGCACACTGACCGCAGTCCACTCTTTCAAATACTTGGGTATGTTGCTAGACCCCAATCTATCTTTTGGCCTCCACATAGAAAAACTTGCATCTAAACTTTATCCAAAACTAGCTGCCCTGTATAGAAACAAATCCTGCCTAAGCCCTTCAGTAAAGGAAAAGATTGTACAGCAAATGCTGATGCCAATCATTGATTATGGGGATGTAGTATGTGCATCTGCATCGCAATCCCACATTAATAAACTCAATACATTGTATAACTCTTTCTGCTGATTTGTGCTACAATGTAATTACAGGACCATTGTGATATGCTAAAAGAACTGAACTGGCTGTCGCTGGAATCGAGACGCACCCTTCATCTTTCCAGCCTTGTGTTTAAGAGCTTTTCTGGGAAACTCCCACCCTACCTGAGCAAAATGCTCTCCTCGGCTGTTCCCACCTCCTATAACCTCCGATCCAGTACCAGCAATTTATTTAGTCTACCTCAATACAAATAGAAAGCGGCCCAATCCTCCTTCTCCTACAGAGCGCCGCAATCGTGGAACGATCTCCCCCACACTTTAAAATCACCATATAGCAGGAGTCGTGCCGTTGGGTCACTGTAGAGTGCCTCTACCCATTGTGTGAATTTGGGGCCTATGCCCAGGCTCCGAAGGGTTTCAAAGAGGAATGCCCAGTCTACCCTATCGAAGGCCTTCTCAGGGGATCAAGGTCTGCTGGTTGGATTGTGCAGCTACCGAGATCAGTTTCAGTGCCTGTGCTCTCTCCTGGGAATGAACCCTGTTTGATCTGGTTTGACCATGTCCAGGAGTAATGGCGCCAAGCGGCCTGCCATCACACTGGCCAGAAGCTTGACGTCCACGTCCAGGACCGATATCGGGCAGTAGCTTGCACACACATCTTTCAGGAGGAGTGTGATGTTTGCAGCCGTGAATGGGGTTGACAGGGTTGCGCCGTCTAGGATCGAGTTCAGAGCCGAATGTAATTTCGGTAGGAGGTCCAATAGTAAGGTTTTATAATACAATAGTGGGAGTCCCAGCGCTTTACTCGTCTTAGCCTTTTTGATTGTGCATGCCAGCTCTTCCATGGTTATGGGGGCCTCCAATTCGTCTCGGTCCGAGGCATCTATTTGATTCAATTCTGCTGAGTCCAGGTACACGCGGATCGCCTCACTCCTGCGGGGTGTTTCGATGGCCTGTGTGTCTCGTCGTAGATTGTAGAGGTCCTCATAATATTGGGTGAATGCGGCTGAGATCTGGTCCGGTAGGTGGCACATTCGCCCAGCGGCATTTTGAATCTTGGGAATATAAAGGTAGTTCCTGCGCTTTTTTAGTAGGGTTGCTAAGAGTCTGCCGCATTTATTCCCGTGTTCATACACCATATGTTGGAATTGTTGGAAAGAACGTTGGATTGCTCGGTTCAGGTGTCCTGTGAGTTGGGTGCCGTTCAGAAGGAGCTCACGGTAGGTCGAGGGGTCCAGAGTCTGCTTATAACGATATTCCAGTTCCGCAATATCCTTGTTGAGGTCCGTTATTGTCTGGCTGTGTGCCTTTTTCCGCGCGGAACAGTGCGCAATAAAGTGACCCCGAAGCCTCCCAGCACAGCAAGGGTGTCGTGTCGTCCGTCTTGTTAGCAAGGAAGTAGTCTTGGATGGTTTGTTTGGTAGCGGTGATCAGGGCTGGGTCTGCCAGAATTGATTCATTGAGACGCCAGGACACCTGGCGGGGTCGGAACAGGGGTGACTTGAGTCGTATGCGGATGGGATTATGATCCAACCACGTCATGGGTAGAATTTCCGACTCCACAAGAAGGGGCAGGCGGTGGTATGGTAGGAAGAAATAGTCCGGCCTAGTGTACGTGGCGTGGGTCGTGGAATCAAATGTGTAGTCCCTCGCGTTGGGATTTAGCTCTCTTCAGCAGTCTGTGAGTTGGTGATGGTGTAGTAGCTGTATCGTCCGCGTGTGTCTGTTGGGCGTCTGCTGAGCGGGGTTTGCCGAGGAGTCCTGGGGTGTAGTGGTAGGTTAAAGTCCCCACCCACGACCAGGGTGCCGTCTGCGAATCTCATCGGGGTGGCCAGTGCCGATTGGAGGAATCTGTATTGGTTGGCATTCGGCGCGTATATATTCGTGAAGGTGTATGTCTGGTCGTGGATGGTCCCCTTCACAAAGATGTATCTGCCGTGGGGGCATCGAAGCGTGTCTATTTCAACGAATGGGGTTCTCCTGAAGAACAAGATTCCCACTCCCAGTGTGCGACGCAGCGGGTTGTTGCTGAAGAGTCCTAGTGGGTAGTTGCGGTCTCGCAAGGCCGGTGTTCGGCTCTCCTGAAAGTGTCTCTCCTGTATAAGGGCCACTGAGTCGGGAGCGCTTCTCCCGAATGTTGAGGCCTCGGATGTTGTGCGAGATGACGTTCAGGTCTTCCCTGGTGTAGTGTGCACCTCCCGGGGCTAGCATCCCCGGGGTGGCCATCTGGGGTTCCCGTAGCGGTGGTATATGGGAGGGAGGCGGGAGGGAGTCTGGGGGAGGGGAGAGAGGTGGGAGGAGGGGGGAGCAAGAGAAGGACGGGAACAGGAAAGAAAGGGGGGGGTGGGCGTGTCAGTGTTGTGGTCCTATAGGGACCTAGGGTGAGTTCGGGTCAGTGGACTACAGTCCTGGTGGTGCGGCCCTTAGACCCAGTAGGTATGGTGTCCGGGGCCACTCCTGGACGGAGGCTCTCTTCCCAGATAAGAGTATTTTTGGTCCTAACCCTTCGGGGAACTCGGGTATCCCTAGTCTGCCTCCGTCCGATGGGGGCGGGAATGTCCCAATCAGTCCTGAGCGGCACCGGGGATATCCGTCTGTCCAGCCGTCTGTGATGGAGAATGGCGTCTGTCTAGTATTGAGAAGGTGTGGCCCATGTAGGCCCTTCTTCTGACTGGGAAGCTACCCCTATGTGCGTGGGTCGTGGGGCAAGTCGCAGTCTGTACCGTCCATGTGTAGGCAGCTGCGGGTGTTCCTGAATCTGTATTTGCATTGTGACGGTGGCTGCTGCTGCGTGGCGAGGGGGGAGGGGTCTTTGTCCTACTAATTACTGTCAGAGCAATTGCCTATATCTTACACCTTTCCTGGGAAGTGCTACTTCTCCCAGCCTTCCCAGTCACCTTCCTTCTGCTTACTGATTGGCCAGACGACCCCTAGCACCTTGTGGTGTCTGCAGTTTCATGCCTCTCAATATATCTCATCCTGAGCGGTCACCATCTGCTTGTTACTCATCCCCTATCGAATTATCCTCCCCTTCCCTCCCCTCCCACTTTGGGTTCGTTACTGTCCATTTTGTTTGTCATGTATCGTGCCGTCCCTCGTGTTTTTTATAATTGTTTTTTTTGTGCCCTCTGTATTTTTTGTTCCCCTCTATATGGGATACCTGCCACTTGGAGTGCTGTGGTGATAGGCCATGTTGAATTTCGTATATATTGTGTATTAATATTGTTTTTGTATTTTATTGTACCCTATTGTAACAATGCAATGTTTTGTGAACACAGGACATACTTGAAAACGAGAGAAATCTCAATGTATCTTTCCTGGTAAAATATTTTATAAATAAATAAATAATGACAATTAGGCGATTTTCCTTTCTGCAATTAGGTTCCTGTATATATACCTTGGGACCATAATAGATATACGCCTTGGCTCAATACCGATTCTGTTACACAATGTACATAATGTAAATTTGTATTAATTAAACACAGTGGTTTTGGTTGTCAAGATGTATTCCATCCCAACCTATACTGCCACTTACCAAGACTTCTGCTTTCTATTATTGATTAGACAAAATTACACTAATTCTGTCTACTTTTCCTATTTGAGACCAGATCACACTGGAATAATTATTTGAACAGTTGGCAATTTATTTGAACAACCAGACGTACATGTGTGAGTTTTGCTCGCTCCCTTGATTGTCCCTAGATACCTTGCTCAGTATGTATTCAGCAAGATTATCTGCAGGAGAAGTAGTTTCACAAATTTAGAGACCAAGCATATATATGCTTTTCAAGAAAACTCAAAGAGTTAGAGATGTATTTGGGCGCTTCTTGGAATATATGTAGGGTGTGTATAAAACAGGTGTTCCCAATCACCTTAAAGGTACAAATGACAAAAATAAGTGATAATCAAATTACCACACAAATACAACACCCAGTGAGACACTTAGGGTATTCTTCCCAATAGTAGCGTCTAGTAGTAGCTTGGAAGAGCCGACACTCTGCGAAACACGCGTCGGGACGTTATTGGCAGAGGATGGAGGGGGTTTTGATAGGGGACAACGCTGCAGATGTTACTTTCCTCCCGGTCTAGCCACCCTGCTTTATTAATTAATTGATATTTAGACAGGTAGCCACTGTAACGGATCGTTTTGCACAAAAGGGGAAAAAAACGCGATCGGCCCCTTTTCCAGAGATGCAGGCACAGCTACTGCAGAATACCAAACACACGAACCGTCATTAAGTGAATGCTCCAAACACCCGAACTGCATACAAGGGAATGCTCCAAACACTTGAACTGCATACCAGGGAATGCTCCAAACACTCGAACTGCATACAAGGGAATGCTCCAAACACTCGAACTGCATACAAGGGAATGCTCCAAACACCCGAACTGGAACCTCACGAATAGCTGCTAGCAGACGAACAGGAAAAGAACCCAAGCGGCTTACACTCCTGGCAATCAGTCTCTATCAGCATACAGTAAATCCCCCCCAAAGACGAGACAGAGCTCCGTGTTAAGGGTCAAGCAGTGGTCTGGTGTAATGAGGGCTACCTGCCCAGTATTTATGCAGGTCTCCCACCTGGTGGACACTCCCCAAGGGGACCAAATGGGAGACTGTGACAAGGGACAGACAAGCAGACAAATAGGACACACAGTCACAGTATATTCCCACAATGCATCCTGGCTTCCTCCCCTCTGCCCTGGGAGATAATTGAGAAGTAACTCAATTATCTCCCAAGACAAAGGCAAAACTCCATTACACATGTGGGGACACAAAACCAGTATTATACTTTAAAATACATAAAGTAACATTTATTACATAAAACACAGACATGTAACATATCCCCAGATAGCTCAGGTCTGAGTGCACATTATTAGGTGAATGGCACTCAGACCACACGAATACAGTTTAATTGCCATGGAGCCAAAGTCTTTAATTACACGAATAGGCTCCATGGCATAGCTATCTGGGTTAAAACATTCTCCCAACACAAAATACCGAATTTACATACATTCGTTAAATTGGTACGAATTAGAACCAGGGGCTGGAGGCTCAGCGGTGCTTAGCTGACACAGTGTCCAGATTTGGCGTAGGAAAGCCGGGCAGAAAAGCGCTGGCTGCCGGGGAGCTCCAGAACATCGCCATCGTGTGGCAGCTAGGTGTAACCGCGACCACCCAGTAACAGTCAATTAAGCTGCGGTTAACCGCAGCTACTGGGTGGTCAATTGCCGGCACACGCTCATTAAGCCGCGGTTAACCGCAGCTTCAGGGAGGTAAATGGAGGGCACACGCCAGCTTCTGGGTGGCCAATTAACGGCGCTGGCCGACTTCCCACGGCTCTGGGGAGGCTGATAGAAGTCTGTTTGTTCGGTAGATAGAATCTACCGAACGGCTGTGCAGAAAGGAAGGAATAAATCTTTCTGCACAGTAAAATTAACCGTTTAACTGCTGGTCCATAATCCAAAGGCAGCAGGCGGGCAACCAGGCTCCTCCAATGCAATGTGGCGAGATTGGTCTCGTCACAGCCACCTATGACTTTTCGGCTACATTTTTCTTAGTAGAGGGGAAGGGGATCATGCTGTCATGATGGCATTGGGTGATGGGAGTTGGGGGATAGATTATCCAATTTGTTTTTCTTATTAACTGATACTATTTAAACTTTTACCCCATAATCCCTGTGCCACAGGTGCTACCACCTGACAGGGATAACTGCAGGACAACAAGAATCTCCCTCTTGTGGTTCCCCTCCTTATGTCTATTATAGATTTATTATAGGGATTTTTTAAACCTATTTCTATTAAAAGTTAAGTTTTAGCAAACTTGGGGTCGCTCTTATAGTACAAGAGCTCTAAGGGATACTATCTGGATCTATTTATTTCCCTGCTAGCTTTCTTGCACTGTCTTGCACTGTCTCCTTCTAGTTATATTTCATATAGGGTTTATCAAGCCTCAGCGACCTGACACACTTTCTCTCTATTTTCTTTCTTTAGTAGTAGAAAAAAAAATTGAACAGCTCCAGCCCCAACGGTTTCACATTGAAATATTGAAAAATGTGTTTGGGCCTGTTGGCCCCACATTTTCTACGTATGCTGAATACTATACAACATGGTGGCTCAATGAACTCTGCCACTCTTCAGGCACCTATTGTGGTGCTACCCAACAAGAGGAAGGATCCTTCATTGTGCCCCAGCTTATGACCAATCTCTCTGACAGCGATCTGAAATTATTTGCAAAAAGTTTAGCTCTCTGCTGACAGCCACATCTACCTGACCTCATCCACCCAGACCAAGTGAGTATGGTCATCGGGAGGGAGGAATGTGACAACACTACCATTGTTCTTTATTTGATATCCGCTACTTTAAAAGTTTGGGTGATGGCATATGCTGGTTTACTTTTCTCGAACCCTGCATAATCTCTTCCCTCTGTAATGGAGGAATTCAAAACCATTGCCCACCTATCGAATTTGAAAATCAGCTTTACAAAATCTGAGATTCTTACCTATAAGGAGACGTTAGTAGCTACCCTGAAAAGTGAGTATAAT